TGCCAGATACATAGTCGCCACCTAAATATTTTATTTTGGGGAATTTAGGAAACCCTGACTCGTTGCCTGAGGCCACGTGTCCGTCATCACCAAAGTTCCCTCGACTCAGGAACTTGGATACAATTGGGGAAGGTCACTTCGTGAGCACCCCCGCTCGCCCGATCAAAGATCGGCCTCTACTAACCATGATATCTAGTTTTGAAAACATTATGCGTTCTTATTCCGGTTATTAGCCTAGATTTACTATGTGATGCGCACAGCATACAAATATAGACCGGATCGCCTGAATTTGAACAAAACATCTCATTTTTGTTTATTTGAAAATGGTTTGATGGTGCTACTCACTACGGTAGTGGCTGAGTCTTGTAGCATAATAGGCAAGGAGCTCGAGGTTCAAGCATGCAAAGAAATGGTGGCAGGTAGCAATACATTTAATGCCTCAAAACCAGCTGATGTATGTAATGATGGGCAAGTCTTCTCATCTGGTTGTATGAGTAGATTGAGTGAGGCTACTCTAAGTTTAGCTGGCCTGAACTTGGGCCTTAATAATTTAAACCATGAGGTGGGTGGGCTACCTAACGTATGCAAGGATGCTAAAGCATAAAGCTTACCGAGTACTCCAAGCCAAAATAGGAATTCATTAGAAATCATGCATGATCCTAAGTATACAGAAATGCCTAATGCAACACATGCGAAATGTAATTATAGGAGGCTCGACTATTCTAAGATGGCATATGATGATGCTACAGCTAACACGTATTCAACTTTGGAATTGAAATACAAATGCAGTTAGTATGATGCGCCGAGCCCGGTGCATGCAAAACAGATGAATGAATGCAAACATGCTATCATGCTGTATGTTAATTGAAACATGCCCTAATCTAACCATCATAAGATGGTAAATAAAAAGGAGAAAGACGTGGGGTTGGAAGACATACATCACACGCACGCACACTTATTACAATTGTGCCATCGCTCGGAGGGTCCGAATAAATAATATACAGTCCGAATAAATACAAAATCCTAATTAATTAACAAATTAATCTAGGAAAGCAGGTAAATTAGCACGCAAATCCATGGACTGCCTCAGCTCTGTTCCGAATGATGAATGATGTATGCTTGAGTTGCCTTGCACAGAAATCCATTACGATGCCCCAGTTTGCCTCTGTTTGTAATTGTTTTTGGAATATTGTGCAATGCTCCAGAAGACTGCTGATTTCTGATTTACTGCAACAGAGAGCAACAAAGGGGTATGGCAAAGTATTTTCACAAATGTATGCATGACTACTCTTCAGGGAGTGTAGTCCTCGATCCTCGTGCCACCAATCACGCATATCGATGCATGATGGTCGAGGAGTCGAATTGCACGACTCAATGTGAAATGAATGCACATGAAAACCAACAAGACCTAAACTCCATCATAGGTAATCCGAAGCGTCGGCGACCGGGAATTGAGACGCGTTCCGTCGCTCGGAGTATGAAACGTCTCTCGTTTCCCATGCTTGGGCTAACTCCTATCCCAAACACGATGCAAATGAGATGGCATACACAATGCGACTAACATACAACCTAGAATGCGCAATGCTATGAAATGGCATACACAATGCTCGATGTAACATGGCATACACAATGCTCTAACATACAACCTAGCACACGCAATGCTAAGGACTGAAATGGCATACACAATGCACGATGGACTTACACCAACATGAATGGACCTCAGCCACACTCACATCAGTGGCCATGAGATGGAAAAGAGACAACCGAAATGCATGCACACATGCACGAATACCAAGGACCGAACCTAAGGCATAAAATGCCACTCTACCAAGGCATGGTAAGGGATGAAAGATGGCATACAAACATGTAATTTCCAGCACTGAAACATGATGCTAGATGGTCCCGAAACATGGAAATATGGCACCCGATGCATGGAATAAGCCCCGAAACTCAAAACTAGGCACATGCTAAAAATCCGCTGAATTTCAGTGGCTAAAAGGCCAAACCAAGGCCAATGCAAATACTCACATGCATAGCTCAAAACATGAAGAAATAAAGCATGAAAGGGGGGAGATGACCCCAAACAGAGAAGTGACCTGAAGTAAACATGTTTATAAGCTCAAAAGGAAACTTTTTCTAGTTTATGGAAAATCTCGAAAATGCTCACAAGTAGGGCTAAGATATGATGCAAAATAATCCTACAAAGAGGGACAAAGCATACAAGGTGTAGGAGACCTTAAACAGAAAAGTGTCCTTAATCAATATTCAAGAGGAGCTTAAAATATGACACTTTTTAGTTTATGACAAAGTCCATAAATACTTGCAAGTAAGGCTAATCAATGGAGCAAAAAAATGCAAGTTTAAGGGAAATAGGTGTTTACCCTTGAAGAGCAGCAAAGCTGGAGCTTTTGGACCAAGTTGGTGAACCTTCAACCCATGAAAATCAGTCCCAAAGTGCTGGAATGGATGGAGGAGGTGTGGTGCTATGGGTTGTAGTGCAAATGGTCCAAGAAAACTAGGGTTTGGAGGCTCAAGTGCAGAGATATAGGGAGAGAGAGAGAGAGTTGTAAGCCTTCAAAGTTGTTCAACCCTTGCAATGGAAGCTCAGCCCCTCCTTTATAGAGGAAAGACTCTAAAGCTTCTCTAAGAAGCTTGAAACCAAGCTCAAAGATCCTCCATACACGTGTATGGAGGATCACTTCTAGGGCTTCCAGCTGCCACAGCTGGCTTACACTCAAAGAGACCAAAAAGCAGGAAACAGGCCGACAGTTAAGGTGGTCGGCCGGCCACCCCCCTGGTCAGCTGACCAGGGGTCAAAAGCTTCAAGGAGAAATGCTAGCCGGCCACCCCAGAAAGGTGGCCTCCCAAATGAGTGCAACACAGCTGTATGGTGGAAAACCAGAAAATGTGACCCAAGAGAGAGAAAAACCAGCTTTTTAGCAAGGTTCAAAAGGGTTAAGAAGAATTTCTGGTCGGCCTATCCATATTGGTGGCCTCCCAGATGAGCACAGCACAATGGTGGTGTGAAAAGCCAGAAATTGTGGCTCAAAAGTGAGAAAAACCAGCTTTCTATCAGAAAATTAGCTTTTGGAGAGAGAAAATGAGAAAACTAGTTTTTCAGGGGAAAAGGTGGCCGGCCACCACACTACCCCCTCCCCTAATAGTGAAAATAGGGTCCCCACCAAAAATGGACCAAGACGGATGCAAAACGAAGGTTCGGGGGCCAAAACGCGCAGTCCGAGGCCCCAAAAACAGGCTATTAGGCATCGGAAGTGGCATATGACCACAAAGGTGGTCTCCTGGGCCACAGTGTCCCTCAAAAGGGAGGAAGCAAGGTGTGCACCAAAAACCGGAGCAAACGGAGGTAGTTAAGCAGTCCCAAACCGAGGCAAACGGCCGACGGCTCCGAAAATCAAAAACTGGTCTCCAAACTGAAAAAATGGTCTACGACCACGAAACGTAGCCTATGGCCACTAAGAGAAACAGAGAAAATAGGACCTGGTTCGCAAGCTGAGGTAAAGCACAAAAGAGCCCGAAGTCCGAAGGCAAGGCTCGCAGCCGAGACTCCGCAACCTCAGAACGAGCACAATATGCTTCATCACCGAGCGCTCAACCGGTGACGTCTGAGTCTTAAGGCCTGTCAAAAATGGGGTGTCTACAGTTGCCCCTCTTTGACAGAACTCGAAAGTCATAAGTGACGGGAGTGAATGTCAAAGCCCAGAGACGACCCATGTTTGACAAGGCCGAAGACTTAGACAAACAGGCGAGATAAACAAAGATGTGCCCGCAGGCATGCCCGCAGGCAGGGGCAAAATGCAGAATGAAGTGCACCAAGCTGGACGTAACTCATGATCATGCAAAGCAGCAAGCTGTAATGAGGTAAGTATTCACAATAGATGCAACAGTTTTAAGCAAGAATGCAAAGCAACAACTACATTTCATGCAGTTTAAGAAAGCGGAGAATTATTCAATTCTCGCCACGTCTCACACAGAGAAGATACAATACCTGCGCGGCTCGTCTGGTCGCACCAGCCTCAAATGAACCGTACATACAATATCATGTCTGCAAAAGAGAGAAACTCAACAAGCACAACATAGTTAGCAACATATGTTCAACGCTATATCGAACGTAGACAAACAGGGTGCCGATGGGAGAGTGCATTGCAGTGCAAGAGACACGCACGTGTCAATGCAAGCTAAGCATGAGGGTATGACAATACCCTTGAAAAATGCACAACAATGCAAGTGGTATGCATGAGAATGCAAATGACGTGCATAACAATGCAGGATAAGTGCAAATTCGAATGCGTGTTTGACGTGAAACAATGAGCAAAGAAATGCAAGTTTTGACGAGTGCGACTCAATCGCGACCTCCAGTTTACCTCCCGGAAGGGTCAAAACATGCTTAAAAAGGATACATCTTGCTCTTGACGAGTGATGATGAAGCACGCATCGAAAGTTGGAGTTGAAGTTCCCGCGGAGGGATTTCGTGACGAAAAGTGCACTTTTCTTGTACTTTCTCTAGTCCCGGGGACTCCAATCATCACCAAAATTTGCAGAGACCTTGGAGACCACCTTGAAAACACCACCGACCAGGTTTGGTCCCAGGGGGAGGCCACCGACCAAGTTTAAGGGGGAGAGGTGGTCGACCTACCAGGAAAGGTGGTCGGCCGACCACCTAGCCCAAATCCGGGGCAGTTTGGTCTTTTTGCTCTCATTTCTTTAAATATACAAAGCCAAACACCTTTTGCTCATAACTTCAGCTCCACTTTTTAATGATATTATAAATATATTTCAATTAATAATTTAGGTAATTTTATTATATAGGAGAGTAACTATGAATTTCATTTTTTTAGTTAATTCTGTTAAATAATTTTTTTTAACAAAATTATATTTGTAATTTTTCAAATCACAAAAAAAATCAATATTTTAAATAAATGTCAAGGGTGTATTTGTAATTTACGAAAGTTGTATCATGAAGCAAAATAAGCAATCATACCAAAAACCCTAGCTCCCAACCACCGCTGCTCTCTCTCTCACACACATCAGATGAAGAAGAAGAAGCAAAAGTCCGCAGAACCTCCGCCTACCGCCGCCGCAACCACCTCCGCCGCCGCGGATCTGAAGGCTCTGATTCGCGAGCACTCTCTCTTCTTCGACAAGCTCATCGAGCTCATTCCCGCCAAGTTCTACCTCCCCAGCGACGATGCGAAGCCATGGTTCCAGGGTTTGAAGAAATCGGCCAGAGAGGCCGCCAAGCAACAGACCAGAGAGAACATCAAGAAAGCTCGCCGCGACCGACTCGACCCCGAGAAGTCCCAAAGCTCAACCCTAGAACTGCTCAAAAAAAGCATCGAAATCGGAAAAGAACCGAACAAATCGGAAGCCGATAAAGACGAGGATGAACAGGACGGCGGCGATGGTGATCGGTCAGTCACCTATGAGGAGCTTCGGCAACGCCTCCACCGCCGCATCGAAGATCTCCGATCGAACCGCGGCAATGGCGAAAGATCGAAGTTTGAGAAGAGAGAGAACCAACAGAAGAAGAGAAAGAGCGGTAGTGAAGTGGGAGAGAAGAGTGAGAGTGATGGCAATGTTGGTAAAATTGGGAAATCTGAGGATGAGATTGAAAAGGATGTGACTGAGGCGACGAAGGGGATTGAATTTGGGAAAGTGAAGCTGGGAGGAGAGGAGGGTGAGAGGAAGACGAAGAAGAGGAAGTTATCGAAGGCGAAGGAGCTCGAGAGGGCGAAGAGATTGGAGGAGGCGAAAAAGGACCCGGAAAAAGGCGAATTGGTGGCGAAGAAGCATTCGTGGAAGGCTGCGGTGAGCCGGGCAGCCGGGGTTAAGGTGCACGATGATCCGAAATTGTTGAAGCAGAGTATGCATAAGGAAAAAAGGAGGCATGAGAAGAATGTGGGGAAGTGGAAGGAGAGGTTCGAGACTAGGGATAAGTTGAAGGAGGAGAAGCAGAAGAAGAGGACTGATAATATATCTGAGAGGATTCATCAGAAGAAGATGAGGAAGATTGCAAAAAGAGAGAAAAAGCTTATGAGGCCAGGTTTCGAAGGGAGGAAAGAGGGTTATATCAATAATAATGATTAAGGTTCCTTTACATTATGAAGTTTATGCTTTTATGTTTCGTTTAAATTGATCATTTTTGTTTAATACATCAATAGTTGTTAAGAACTTTCTTTCGATATTAGTCTTAATGAATTGATGTTGTTTGGAGGGTAACTTCTATTTGATAGTTTGCTAATGTTTTACTGAAATGAGATGGCCACTCATGTCTTTGAAGTATTCTATTTCCCCATGTTAGTTTTTGCTCTTGTTGAAGCTATTGGTTATTTTCCCCCCCTTTGAAAATGATTAAAACTTGAAATTTATGGAAACCCATGTAAGGAAACTGTAAAGGCATCTCACTTAAGTGTTTTCTTCACCCCCAATTTTTTGGGGATATACTATGTTTGTGCTGTATGAGATAGTATGTTTGTGTTGTATGTTTTATATCTCAACCAACCATTGAGAAGAAAATTTTACATGGTGCAAGTTGCAAAAGATATTCTATTAAAATTTTATGAAATGCATGTCAGCTTTGTTGTCACTGTGGTTTGCTGATACAGTGGGTTGAGTTTGTAGGCTGAAGCTGCATATCTTGCATTTGCCCGTGTTCAGGTTATTGCTTTTATGTTTTGCCTCAATATTGTGAGTCTTTCTCTCTCTGTAAATGCGTGGAAGGTGTCTTAAAATGCCAAAAACAAAAATTATAACCAAAAAAAAAGAAGTCGTCTCCCTTTATCTCCTATTTATAAGTTCCAGGTTATCAAACTTGATGGATGTCAGTCTATCCTCAAGTCAGTATACATGCTTATTTTAGGACATCTCTATGCCCCTCTCACGGATGTAGTGTGCAAGACATTGCTCCAGCTCCTTAAACTAGTTGCTTTGATGAGACAATAGTTCTCGAGTTCAGAAATATTGGAAAATTTTCTTCTTTGGTTCATTGTTGTTGCTAGTTTCGGCAAGGTCTAAAGTGTAGTTGAAGTCTCTGATACTTGCGGCTGATGAAACATACTGACATTACTAGCTTGGAGTGGTGAGTGGGTTACCAAGTTATTTAAGCCACCTAGCTCTGGAGTAGCTGGGATTGGATTGGAACACAATAAATCTTTGCTTCTTCTTTGGGAGGGAAGTGTGGTGATAACAGTTTTTTCAGTCTGATGTACATTCAAACCATATATAATCATCTCTCTTGGGTGAATTTCTCATAATTAGCCATCCTCAGAATAATTGCACTTTCCTGGCTTTGTTTGCTTGGTTTGCACATTTGTTGATTTATGTGCCTGTTGATTGCAGTATGAATTTCTTTCTTCCAAACTACGCTTAGGCCCAAGACTTTTGATCTTATTTTAGACTTCACCTTGCAACCCGAACTATATTTTTTTAAGAGACATTTCATCAGTGGAGATGGTTGGTGGTGCAACCTTTGCGTCGTCATGCAACACATACCAACATGTTCATGGGATTGCACTTTCTTCTTCTGCACTAGAAAGTAATGTTTGGGAACTTGAATTTTTGTGGTTTGTTTTTTTGGCTAAAATAAAGACAAAATAGGCTAAAATAGTCAATGAGCTTGTTTGGGAAGAACATTTGGGCTAAAATAGCTATATAAGACAAAATAGGTTATTTTAGCCAAATAGGACAAAATGTCACATTCAATCCATAATCATTTCATTTTTTTCTCAAAAAAGCCAAAAAGCATATCCCAATTAAAACTTTTTAGCTCTAGGCTAAAATAGCTAAAAAGCCAACTCACATTCTAAACAAGCTTAGAATATCACATCCAAATCATATTCATTTTACTTTTTCTTTTACAACTATCGAATCAACTAAAAAAAAAAAAAACAATTATTATTCCAAACATAATTTTTTTAATCATGCTAAAGTAATCAAAAAAAATCAACTAAAATAGTCAAGTTTCCAAGTAGGTAATATTTACTAAAAATTGATTTCTTCATTGAAACAATTGAACTCTTATGTTAAACTGGTTTGGATTTAGTTTGAAAGTTGGAATTGCATGTTGGTTGTACTTTTATGATGTTGCCTACTGCTATATTGCTATGTTGTGTTATCTGGATTGAAGTTTTTCATGTCTTCTATGCTACTAGGTTTTGTTAGAATAGCATATTATTAGTTGGGTTATAATTTTATTGTAATTATTTTGTATCTTAGGGCTCTCTTGTAATTATTAATCTTCATTAATATAAAAGGGGGGATGATATTACAATCATTCCCTAATCTTGGTATTCTCTAAATTTATCATGGTATCAGAGCCTAATCCTAAAACTTAAACCCATCTATCTATACAGTTCCTATTACTCAGCTGGAGACATCCCACGCCGCCAGTGACTACCCTTCAGTAGCCAACTCCACCCTAAGGGGTTTCGGCTCACACCGAGAAATACCCAGGTGGTTTCGGGTTTGGGTTGATGTTTGTCTAGGGTTCGAAACTCACCCTCGTTTTAAACCTTACCTAGGTTGATCGACATCCTTACCGCAGGCATTGATGTCCCTTGTTAGTCTTTGCCGACTGCCACAGATAGTCTTCTTGGCCCAACCGACACCCCTTGTGACAGTTTCTTTCTCTTTTCCTGTCGACATTCATGCGACAACCTTTCTCTTTTTTTCCCTGATGACATGCTTCAACCACAACCCTAGTCTATTTGATTAGGTCCTTTGCTTCTTTGTAGACGTGTAAACTGATACTGGTACCCTAGTTTTTTAATTCTTAAAAAAAAAAAAAAAAAAAAAAAAAAAAAAAAGAAAAAAGAAAAAACTCTATGAGTTCTTAATTTTTATGCTTTCATAGTGGTAGTTGTGTCTTTCCTTCCACCATCACCTTCCGGATTTGTGATTGATACTAGTTTTGTTGAGGGTTCGGTAGTACAGTTTTCATGGCAGATTTCACCAATGTGTCCACTACTTCTCAAATACCTAGGAGTGAGAGTTCCATTCTACCTACTACCTTGACTGATAACCCCAACCCTAGTTTTAAAATCACTATCTCTCCATTTAATGGTCAAAACTATCTAGCGTGGTCGCAGAGTTTGACTATTTTTTTGAAGAGTAGAGGGAAGATGGGGTATGTTGATGGCGAGATACAGGTACCCAACATCACTGACCTTGGTTATGACCAATGGGAGATTACTAACTCTATGATTATGGGTTGACTTATTCATTCAATGGCACTAGAAATTGGTGAGGGATACTTATCTATGGAGACTACCTAGGATATTTGGGATGTTGTGGCTGCCACCTATTCCTACAAAGGTAATTTCTCACAGGCATTTGAGTTGTGCCGTTCTATTGAGCTTTGTCCAGGGGAAATAGATTTTTCTTCAGTACTTCACTTTCCTCACCAACGGCTGGAAACGCCTTGATCACTTGTAAGACTATAAGCATAGGTGAACTGCTGATTCAGCCGAGTATAAGAAGTTCATTGCATAGTCTAGCAGGTCTCAATATAGAGTATGATCCAGTTCGGAGTCGGGTTCTGGGTATGAATACTCTTCCTTCACTTCATAATGCATTTGCCTATGTATAGAATGAGAAGAGTCGCCGGTCTACTATGATGTCACTTGTCCTATTGACCGCTCAGCATTACTGTCTATCCCTAGAGATGGCCTAAACCTGACTCCCATCCCTCCATCTGCTGCCAAGGAGTATGTATTCTGTGATTACTATCGCAAGTCGCGACATACTCGTGAGACGTGTTGGAAGCTTCATGGGATCCTATCTGGGGGTCGAGGTGATCGGTCTGGTTCTAGAGGCGGTTGGTCAGGCCAGTCTAGAGGACGTGGCTCTCATCTGCAAACTCATTAGTCTAGTGCTGTTGATGTACTTGTTTCTACTTCTGCTTCCGTTAGCTAGGTTACTGACGATCTCTCTAGCATGACTACTCATGAGCTTGAGGATGTTCTGCGTGACTTACTGGACTGTTGATCTTCTATTTCTCTCAATACATTTTCCTCGTCGTTTGCCCGCTCGGGTAACTTAGCCTCTTTTCCTCGTGTTTTCCTTTCACATAAGTCTTTGTCCTGGATTATTGATTCTGGTGCGTCAGATCATATGTTTGGGTCCTTTGACCTTTTCTCTGTCTATAAGCCTTCTTTAGGTCAGGACAAAGTTAGGATTGCCAATGGTACTGTTTCGTCTATTCCTGGAAAAGGTTTAGTCCATGTCACTCCTACCATATCTTTATCTTCTGTTCTTCATGTTTCCAATTTTTCTATTAACCTGTTATTTTTGAGTTGTATTACAAAAGATTTGAATTATGGTGTAACTTTTTTTCTTGATCATTGTCTTTTTTAGAACCTTGTCATGAGGAAGACGATTGGCAGTGGTAATGCAAAAAATGGTCTCTACTTCCTGGATCAACTGGATACTGTAGACGCGCCCGAACGTCCCGAGAAAATCCCGTTTTGTTCATTGGGCTTACTACAGTTCGGACTCAATGTCACAGTTCTGAATCTAAACTTGCAAAGTACAATGCAAGACCGATAAATCACCAAAGAGTCCAAATCTGACAAATCGTTTTGAAAAACTGATTTTTATAAATAAGTGTCAAACATGGACTGCTTTGCCAGATACAGAGTCGCCACTTAAATATTTTATTTTTGGAGAAATTTAAGAAACCCTGACTCGTGCCTAAGGCCACGTGTCCGTCATCACCAAAGTTACCTCGGCTCGGGAACTTAGGTACGAGAGGGGAAGGCCATGCAATGAGCACCCCCGCTCGCCTGATCAAAGGATCGGCCTGTACTAAGCATGATATCTTGTTTTTTAAAACACATGTGCTCTTATTCCGGTTATTAAGCTTAAAATTACTATGTGATGTGCACAGCATACAAGTATAGACTAGATCGCCTAAGTTGGAACAAAACATTGCATATTTATTTGAAAATGGTTTGAAGTTTGCTACTCGCAAGTAGGCTAAATCAGGGATTTGATGAATTGTTCCAATTCAAGTAATACAACCTTCACCCACAGGCATTCAGGCAGTTATATCACATAAGCAGTTAGCCTCACGGGAAGCATGCTTTCATGGCAAACAATAACACACATGCGGTATGCTAAAACACTTTCAGTGTATTCCGAGCCAAAACAAAGAACTAGTTAGTAATCAATGCATGATCCTAGTTTATGTTAAGATAGCTAATGCAACATATGCGAAAATGCATCTAAAATAGGCTCGACTATTCTAAGATGGCATATGAAATGCAACAATTCGATACATGTATTTA